TCATCACCACCACACTATCCTCAATATCAACATCACATCAAGATGATGATTTTGATTACCCGTATGTGAAGTTGTTGATGAGGATGATGAAGGTGGTGAGGTGCTTTATATGGAGGGCGAGTCTCTCTGCAAACAGACTCAAGTTTCAGCCGCATTAAAGGCAGAACTGCAGCTGCAGCCGCTCGTTTATCAGGCTTTACTGGACTGAATCTAATCTGAGCATGATGGAGTGATCCATCCACAACACACACACACACACACTGACCATCACGTCTCTGTTTCACGTCAGCCGGGTTGCATTTACTCAGCTAATGCTCTTTAACTCTGCTTATTCCATTAAGACCACAGTCATAATTATAGTGAGGGTCTCCCACACAAAATCAACAGCAGCAGAGGAAATATGCGGCCTCTACACGTGCTTTGCTTGTTTTGTGGTGGGACAATATGTACAAGGAGCAAAACAGAATCTAGAGTGATGCACTTCAAGCACAGACGGTTTGAAGCAAAACTGATGGTGCTATGATGAACGTATGAAGTAATTGTGAAAGAGAAAAGCGAGAAAGAAAGGGTGTGTCGCGCTACATGAAGTCAGTCCTGAAGAGTGAGTGCATCCTCTTCTGGCCGTTCTCTGAAACTGCGCACAGACCAATATTTACCTTTTATTTGTTACTTTGCAAGGACAGATGATGTATAATATTCATGCACAGCTGTGCAAGACACTTGAACCACACCACACACACACACACACACACAGACCATCACGTCTCTGTTTCACGTCAGCCGGGTTGCATTTACTCAGCTAATGCTCTTTAACTCTGCTTATTCCATTAAGACCACAGTCATAATTATAGTGAGGGTCTCCCACACAAAATCAACAGCAGCAGAGGAAATATGTGGCCTCTACACGTGCTTTGCTTGTTTTGTGGTGGGACAATATGTACAAGGAGCAAAACAGAATCTAGAGTGATGCACTTCAAGCACAGACGGTTTGAAGCAAAACTGATGGTGCTATGATGAACGTATGAAGTAATTGTGAAAGAGAAAAGCGAGAAAGAAAGGGTGTGTCGCGCTACATGAAGTCAGTCCTGAAGAGTGAGTGCATCCTCTTCTGGCCGTTCTCTGAAACTGCGCACAGACCAATATTTACCTTTTATTTGTTACTTTGCAAGGACAGATGATGTATAATATTCATGCACAGCTGTGCAAGACACTTGAAAAATAAAAAAATAAATAAAAAAGGCCAGTCAATAAGCTCTTTCATTTTATTTTTATTATCTTATTTATGGCTACTTCTGTGTATTATTTCTTAAATTACTAATAATTCACCTTCAAACCATCCTAAAATCCTAGTCAATATTTTCAAAATATTACTGACTGACAAGAGACCCAAAGAAAATGCATAATTTCCGTGCACAGCAGTGAATATGCAAGACACATGCAAAAAACAGAGGAGCTCTTCCATTTTACTTTATTCATTTATATTATATTTTATGTTGTCTTATTTTTTTATTAATTTATTTTATTTTAATTCCATTTTTATTATGTATTTGTATACATTTTTTATGGCTACTTCGGTGTAAGTATGATTTCTTAAATTCTGAATTATTTGCTCCCCAAACCATCCTAAAATGCTAGTCAGTATATTCCAAACTATTTTTAGAAATGTTATTGACTCAAATGTAAGTGACCCAAATGCATACAACATCTCCAATCGATTTTTCCTTAAAGGCATAGTTCACCCAAAAATGAACTTTCTGTCATACTTTACTTATGCTTATGTCATTCTAAATCTGTATGACTTACTTTCCTCTGTGGAACTCAAAAGCAGATGTCCAGAGCTCTGAAAAGATTAAAAAGGTTGATAAAAGTATAGTATATGGGCTATATTTTAGTCCTCCGAAGCTATTCAATAGCTTTGTGTGATGAAGACAAAAAAAAAAGTTCTAATAATCATTTCAAACAACATGACGGTGAGTAACAGATACATTTTCATTTTTAAGTGAATTATCCCTTTAAGCTGCTCCACGATGGCCACATACTTACAAAACTATACGAAATCACTCTTTAGATAATTACCTTCACTTATTTAATCAATGCCAGTTCAACAAACCATTAAGCAAAATCATTTCACATTAAACTTAACATCTGTATTAATTATTTTTTTGATTAATAGAATCAATATAACTGATTTCCTATGATTTCACAGGTTTACAAACCAACAGCATAGCTAAAGAAATGGAAATTAATGCCCTACTGAATATAAAATAATCATTTACTCACAGATGCTGACGCAGAGTCACTGACAATATTATTCAGGCCGGACTATCGAATAAATGAAGCAGCAGCTCCTTAATTCATCACATAAACTTCAGAGCACACGAGTCGTGCTCTCTCTCTCAGGCCTGAACACATGCTCAAATTTACATGAAAACCTTCCTGTCCTGGACTCCTGTTTCTCCAGCGGTGGATTAATGCATTGGTCACACACTCGTGCTCATAGCGGATGTCCAGAGGAGACAGACCCTGTGTGTGACCAAAGGGCCGTCTAGAAAAAGGCTTCTGTAACACACACACAGCTAAGCAGAGCTTTAGGACTTTCCTTGCTCAGTCTCAAGGCTATGGATCAGTTTCCAACACCCTCTTTGCATCGACAATGGAAGGAAGTCATTGGATCAGATGAATCTGTGCCGGAAGAACAGCACCATCAGCAGGCTCACAGGCTCTTGGCAGAGACAGAATATGTGTGCTGTAATATTCATGTGCAGCTGTGAACAAGCAACACGAGGAGAAACCAGAGTTAAATTATAGTAAAACTTATAGAGAGAAAAGTGGTATCATGCTTTGATATATTGAATACAGGAATTATTCAGCTGATTACAATCATTGCACAGAATGTGCAATATGTTCTGTGTGCAATGTCTACTCTAGAGGCTTTTGTAAAATAATAAAAATAACAAAACGATTGATTACATTTTGTTCAGATAAAAAAAAAATATATATATATATATTTATTTATTTATATATACACACATACCAGGGCACAATTTGATTACCATATATGCATTTCATGGTAATTAAATGTTACTGTAAGATAATTTTACAAGAACAACATTTTATTATCATTTTACCTTACTACTTTGTCAATGTGATTTTCCCTTGTTTTGGTTTTACAAATCCAAACCAATATCCAACTAACTAACTAACTAACCAACTAACTTTAACTAACCAATATTTACCTTTTATTTGTTACTTGACAAGGACAGATGCGTAATATTCACGCACAGCTGTGAACGTGGAAGACACATACAAAAAAGCAGACAACAAGCACTTTCTAACTAAAACTAATCAACAAACTAAAACTAACTAACCTGCTTTATTTCTTAACTGTCTAACTAATCGGCTTTATTTCTTAACAACTAGCTAAATAGCTAACTAACTAAAAAGCTAAACAACTAGCTTTATTTCCTAACTAACTGTGACGAGTGGGGGTGGGGCCGAGAGCCGTGGGAACGGAGCGAGGCCGGTGGAGTAACTGATAATGAGCGACACCTGCACCACTCACCGGTCTCGAGTCCCACGAAGGAGCTCCGGAAGGATAAAAGGAGGAGTGACGACAGTGAAAGATGAGAGAGGACCAGGCCTGGACTTTATTTTGTGTTTTGTGTGCGGCAGTCGTCCGCGAGGGGCTGCCGCTTTACTTTCATTTTGTGTTTGTTTATTTTATTAAAGTCTTCTTTAAATGTTCACCGGTTCCCGCCTCCTTCTTCCCGGCCTAAGAACGTTGTTACATTGGTGCCGAAACCCGGGAGGAAGGAGGGACACGCTGTCAGAGAGCCCTCGCTGTGGAGGGGGATCGCGGTGCTGAGGAGATCGGGCACCAGGAACAAGCGGAAAGACGGCCGGTGGCTGCCCGAGGCGGTGGTGCTGGAACGATGGAAGACGAGGTGGGACGGAGAGCTCGCTGCCGCGCTCCTGGGTCGAGGAGGGGCGGCTGCCGTCCGAGAGGGAGCGGAGGAGTCGGCCCCGTTCGCCAGGAGGCCGGAGCCTACTGCCATCCGCCATGATTGGGGACTCGCTACCGGCTGCCCTGAATAGCATGATCGGCTCCCCCGGAGGGGGGAGGGGGGGAGTAGAGCGCAGTCTCGGGAGTACCCCCCAGCCTGCGAGGGGCGATGGGGGTATGTGACGAGTGGGGGCGGGGCCGAGAGCCATGGGAACAGAGCGAGGCCGGTGGAGTAATTGATAATGAGTGACACCTGCACCACTCACCGGTCTCGAGTCCCACGGAGGAGCTCCGGAAGGATAAAAGGAGGAGTGACGACAGTGAAAGAGGAGAGAGGACCAGGCTTGGTTTTCATTTTGTGTTTGTTTATTTTATTAAAGTTTTCTTTAAATGTTCACCGGTTCCCGCCTCCTTCTTCCCGACCTACGAACGTTGTTACACTAACTATCTAACTAACCTGCTTTATTTCTTAACTATATAACTAATCTTCTTTATTTCCTTACTAACAACTAGCTAACTAGCTTTATTTTTCAACTAACTAATCTGCATTATTTCATAACTAACCAATTAGTTTTATTTCCTAACTAACATCTACTAACTTACTAGCTTTATTTCTTGATTAACTACTCTGCTTTATTTCCTAACTAACAAATAACTTTATTTCTTAACTAACCAATCTGTTTTATTTCTTAACTATTGTGGCGAGTATCCCGAGTCCAGATTAGCGTCGCCCTGGAAACGCCGCTGCCACACTGATCACCGACACTCAACACCTGTGCGCGATGAGTGGCGCACCTGGAGCTCGTTCCCGCTGGCCTTAAAAGCCAGGAGAAGAGACACCAGCGGGAGAGCACCCCAGAGCTCCAGGCGGCATTAACGATTGTTCTCCTTATTTCACAGAATCTGAAGGCACCCAGGGAGAGGGATCTGCACCACGGCACTTCACCCCACGAGCACCAGTGTGAGACGGGCACCGAGCACCAGTCATCAAGGGCACGTGTGATCAGTGTGTGGGCAAATAAATCACCCTCCGGGGCTCTTTCGACCAGTACCGAGTCTGTGCTCTCATTCACCCCGCGACATATGGTGGAGAATGCGGGCAGAACAGGTGAATTGAGACACAGACGGGTACCGCCAGGTGGCCTTAACGATATCTGTGCTTCTTTTAGGAGAAACCGCTCTCTTCCCCCGGACACATGGAAGAGGTCATCCGCCGCCTAACGGAGCTCTCGGCCCGCCAGCAGCAGTTTACAGAGCGACTGGCCGCCCAGCAGGAATATACTGACCGGGTCGTGGAACAGCTGCAGGTCAGCGTGGCGGGGCGCCTGCCCCTCCCGGGAGCGCCGGTCAGAGCGCACCAATACCTCGTCCGGTTGACCGAGAACGACGACATCGAGGCTTACCTCCACACGTTTGAGGTCATCGCGGCCCGGGAGGGGTGGGTCCAGGAAGAGTGGGCTCGCATCATCGCCCCCTTCCTCACCGGAGAAGCGCAGCGGGCCTATTATGCCCTGAGGGCACCCCGGAACGAACAGTATGACGAGCTCAAAGCCGAAATCCTAGCCCGGGTGGGCCTATCGCCCATGGGGGCGGCGCAACAGTTCTATCAATGGACCTATGATGAACGGCAGCCAGTGAGAGCGCAAGCCGCGCAACTGGCCCGGTTGACCCACCTGTGGCTTCTCGCGGGGTCTCCGACCCCGGACCAGGTGGCTGAGAAAGTACTCATCGACCGGCTGCTACGGGCCCTGCCCCGCCCGCTGAGGCGCCCGGTCAGTATGCGAAACCCCCAGGACGTCCACAGTCTGGTAGAGG